CAAGCATCGGAGAAAACAGCGTGAGAAAACAGTATTTGTGAGGATGCCAGGTAGTTATTGTCGAAACGGATCTTCAGGTCTGAAGAAGAGAAAAAAAAAAGAATAATCTCTCTCTCTCTCTCTCTCTCTCTCTCCACATGAGCAACTTTTATCATCACCCGATGCTTCCTCACATGTCATGAGATCTGTAGAGTTGATGCCATATCCGCAAACGTTTCCCCTGACCTGATCCTGGCTGGTGGCAGGAGATGGATCATGATCATGCCACGACAGCAAACGTTAACCATCACATGATTCTTGGTGATGTGCAACAACATCCACCACGTTGATACGACGCCAGCAAACACTGACCTGTCACCCTCTCTCTCTCTCTCTCTCTCTCTCTCTCTTTTTCTCATCATTGATTGCTTCATCCGGTATTTGGGAAAAAAAAGAACAAGCCTATTACGCTGAGGTGTCAGATGTTGAAAAAGACCCAAGAAGCAGATCAATTACCAGAGTGTTCGTTATCTTCCCTCTCATCATCATCTTCCGCTGCCTCATCTTTCTCCTGTTCATCCTCCTCGTTGCATTTCCCCTTCTGGTCATGCACATCACTGTTCTTTCCCTCATCATTCTGATTCCAGAGTGTTCGCTATCTTCCCTCTCATCATCATTTTTCGCTTCCTCATCTTTCTCCTGCTCATCCTCCTCCTCGTTGCCTTTCCCCTGCTGGTCATGCACATCACTGTTCTCGCACCCATCTTTTCCCTCGTCATCCTGATTCCCTTCCTCCGCACCCTCCTTCCGGCCAATAATCCGGAGAAAAAAAAGGAGGCATAGTCTCTCTCCTCATCTTCCGTTCCGTCCCCTGCTTCGCCCTCTCTCCTTCCTGTGTGTGTATGAAAGGAAGAGGACGTGTGAGATTTTTTGACGATTGTCGTTATCATCCAAAACAGGGAAAAAAAGCAAAGTTCGGGGATGGCAATCGTCGCATCATTCCAATGTCATGCTAGCCCTGTTCGTTCTACCTCCCTCCTCCCAACCCAAGGGTTACTGCCCAATGCCCATGTTTTGCTCGATCACTATGCTACCAGCTGTGTCCAATGGGAGGGCAGCCGGGTGGGACGTTTCTGTCAGACGTCCAGTACCCCCGTTTTCCAGGATCCCGGACAATGCATTTTCAGCCAATCCAGGGCCGGCACGTGTAATTAAAAATTTGGCGATTCCCGTGCACCACATGGGGGATCCCCTCCAAAAATTTTCAGGGCTATTGCACACAAGAAAAAGGAAAAAAACAGGTTGGGTGGGGGGTCTACTGCAGGCGGAACAGCTACAGGTACAACTGCAAGTGCTGCTGCAACAGCTGTAACGGCTGAAGAGGGGAAAAAAGAACAAAACAGAAAGCTGCTGCAACAGCTGCAACAGTCGTAACGGCTGCTGAGGATATTTAAAAAAAAAATTAAAAAAAATCGCCAAAGATGGTGGTGGCAAAAACATGCTGCCACTCGTTCAATCTTTGGTGATTCCCCCCCCCCTCTCCCCCCCCCTTGAAAATTTATAAGGATATACCTCACTTCACAAAACAGAGAGAGAGAGAGAGAGAGAGAGAGAGAGAGAGAGAGAGA